GGAGAGTCAGAAGGTTTCCATTTGCTGGACTAGCCGCTGTCACCACTTTGCTTTCAGTGAGGCTGATGCTCTTTGAGCCTGGGACTGCACATTGATACTGAAAATACCCCTAAAAGCTGCTGAAGTACATTTACTTTATCCTGAATAGAAAGTAATGTTTTCCTTACCATTCCAATTAGATCAGAAATAAATATGTTTGTCACTGTAGGCCAGTGCCAGGCCAATCGCCTCAGTTGGTCTATGTCAGTATTAATGCTTCACATGAGTTTCCACCCTCCCCTCTGCATCACCCCCATCAGCAGATCCTGCTAGACCTTTCTTCCTCATGTATGTATTCAGCTTCTCCTGAAATATATTCCTACTGTTCACCTCAACCACTCGCTGTGGGAATTAATTTTTGATTCTCACTCCTCATTGGGTAAAGAGGTTTCTCATGAAATCCCTTTTGGATTATTGAAGCCCTTCGTCATTTTAAAGGCTTCCATCAGGTCACCCTTCAGGCTTCTCTTTTCCAGAGAAAAGCTCCTCAACCATTCCTGATGTTTATATGTTTTCACTTCTGATAATACCTTTGTGAATCCATGTAATAATGTTTTCCAGTGCCTTTGTTTCCTTTCTCTAAATGGAGATGACAAATGTTGACGTGCTCACAGTGGAGTCAAACTTAGCTTTGAAATAAGTGAAACTTCATTTTCCTCCTTTTTCAGCTCTATTCTGATAGAAAGGGGCCTAAATATGGGTTAGGCCTTTGCAGAATGATGTTAAGTTCCATGAGCTATCTGAGACAGGAATTAGGGGTATTTCATCAGGGATTTGGGACTTCAGTTGGTTGGAGTGACTGGAGCAGCTCATCCTGTTCTCTTTGGATCATAAACTCACTGTTGCAGAACAGGGAGGGAGGCCATTCAGCCCTCTGAGGTCATGCTGGCTCTGTTTGGAACAAGTGTCGGTCCATGTTCTATCCCGATAACCCTGCAGGTTTATATCTGTCAAGGACCTTCCAATTAAAAAATAAGTAATGCATATACTGTTCAGGATGAGAAATGAACTGGAATAATTCATTTTAGATGTAGTTGAGGACAACCTTCCAATCTAGTATTCATCTATATTCTATGTGAAGTGTGGAAAGTTGAGATGATTTAGAAAAATTGATTTCTTTCCTTCGGAATGTTTGCATTGTTTGCCAATAAATTTTGTTTTGGGAAACCGCATTTGATAATCTGGTCATGACCTGACAGATCAGGATCACACAGGGAGATGTTGAAACAGCCATGCCTTTTGATAAATTCACCTGAAAGTTAATATGTACCGTGACATTGGGCTATCGGTAATGTGCAGATGCTACTTGTTATACACGAAAGAAATGGCATGTAAATTCACGGTGAACCCGCACTGCAGAGAGGGTCCCAAACACATGCAGCTCCTTGAGAAACAGCCGGACATGAAATGATTAATGTGGCCGGGGGTAATGAGACAGCATTGTGACATCATCGAGACAGCATTGTGACATCATCAAGACAGTGACACGCTCTCCCGAGAGAAACTGACCTGAAACAATCCGGAGAGAATTCAACCCACAGGGAATGGTCAGAAAGTCAGTGAGGTTCATTAGGAAGGGGTTAAAAACTTAGATTGGCAAAACTAGGCACTCTCCACAGGATGGACACAAGTAAATAAAAAGGATGGGGAATCTTTTACGTCCATGTTTGACCTGTTACTTGATGTTCCTGTATCTGTGGATGAGTAATTTATAACTCTCGGCACTCCTCAGGAGGATAGATCGAGTCATTGTGACCCAAGCAGTGCCCAGAGCAGAACTGGAAATTAACAAAGTGCAATTGAGAGAGGGGTGTTGCGTGTGTGAGAGAGAAAATTACATCCCTCTCAAGCAAGTAAATATCATGTTTCAGATTTCTTGCTAATTAATGGACATTACCTGAAATACTATAATGAGTTTATTTGATTATGAGACATAGGCAGCATTGGTGAGGCCAGGTTTTATTGCCATATCTAACCTGCCTGGAGAAGGTGGCAGTGAGCTGCCTTCTTGAACTGTTGCAGTCCACCCACAGTCCCGTTAGGCAGGGAAGTCTGGGATTCTGACCAAGCGACACTGAGGAACATGATATATTTCCTAGTCGGCATAGCATGTGGCCTGGAGGGGATTTAGCAGGTGGTGGCAATCCCATGTGACTGCTGGTCTAGCCCGTCTGGAATGTAAGGGTTGCAGTTTCAGAAGCTGCTGTTGAAGGTGCCTTGCTGAGTCACTGAAGTGCACCTTGTAGCTGGTACACACGACTGCCACTGTGCATCAGTGGTGAAGGGAGTCAATGTACAAAGAGGTGGACGGGTGTGAATCGAGAGAGCTGTTTTATGTTGTATGGTGTCAAGTATTTTGTAAGGCTTTAGAAATAAAAAGCAAGCACTATCACATGAAACTGTCCACAAAGCGAATGGTTGGTTTCTGACAGTAACCTCTGAAGAGGACAAGTGAATGAAAGGTGGGTACATTAAAAAATGATCTCAAAGTGGGAATAAAAGACACATCCTAGAGACAGTCTGAGCAGGTCACACTTTATTAGAAAATGAAAGTCTCAGATGAGACTTCTTCAGAAAAACAAACCCTTTTCGCTGCCAGCACTAACTCCTGTTACACCCCTTTCTGACCAATAAATGTTACATATGGTTATTGAAAATGAAAATTAACATTTTGTCAACCTTCCTTGTGAACTCACTCTTGGTGGAGTATAATTTCTAACCCAGACCCTTCTCTCACATCACCCTCGAGCATCCTGTGTGGTTTCAGCAGAGGCAGAGACAGGCAGCTTATACCCCTGCTCCCACTGCTCACATGCTTTTGATCTCCATGTTGTACGTTTACCAAACACTGTTTGATCTTTACCAGTGTAGAGGAAAGCTAACTAAAAACCAAAAGAACTGCGGATGCTGTAAATCAGGAACAAAAACAAAGTTGGTGGAAAAGCTCAGCAGGTCTGGCAGCATCTGTGAAGGAGAAAACAGAGTTAACATTTCGGGTCCGGCCAGACCTGCTGAGCTTTTCCAGCAACTTTGTTTTTGTTGTTGTAGAGGAAAGCTAAACCTGACGGTTCATTTCCAGTCAGGAACAGATCATTGTTTTACACTAATCTCTGATTTGAAGCACATTTCCAGCATTCACCGTTGTTCTTCCCTTGATTCAAGACTCAGTTGGAAACGTGATTTTGTTCCATGTTGAGTAGAGCTGAGCCATGGAAGACAGTAGCTGGGACACATTTCTTACACACAGCAGGATTAACCCACACCGTGGCTTGGCTGTCAGTGAAGAGAGACATGAAAGAGTAAAGTGCCATCTGACCCCCTCAGTGTGACCCTGAAGGATGTGTCCGGCTGAAGTTCTGTTGCTGCCGTACGATTCCACCCCACCGCCCCCCCCCTCCCTACCCTGAGATTGTCCTTTCTGAAATCCAGGTGCTATTCAACCCTCAAGACAAATACAACAATCTACAGTGATGTGTTTGAAGCAAAGCTGATTTATTTTACATTTCTCAGAATGTTAAAATCTAGTCTAATTTGAGAGGTTATAAACATCAGAAACAAACTCCAAATGTCAGAACAAAAGTATCAGAAAATTACAGTGTGGATCAAGGCATCTTTAAATCCATTTGTGTAATATGGGAATCTCTGGCTGGCCAGCATTATTCACCCTTTGTCCGTGTTTGTGTTGGCTGAAAGAGAACTACCCAGGTTTTACAACTCTCTGGATTCACCATTGAGATCAACTATTTCAGACTGTGAACTCTGCTCCCTTTGTGTTTGCATTTCTTGTTTCAATTTGTTAGTGTCTGCTGCACACCTGGTTCCAGGCACATCTTTTGTTTCTTTGTTTCTTTTCCAGCCCCTTCTCCATTCCCCATGGCATTGAGGGACTAACATTTCTGCAATTTAATCTCTCCTGCTTCCAGCCCCTGCACCCCCAAACCCTGCGAAGACCGCCCTTCTGCCCTTGTCTCCCCCCCCCCCCCCCA